TTGGAGTGAATGTACAAAATCTCATAAGCAACCAATATAAGAAACCCATGTTATACACATATCCTATTTGAACACTTTACCTAAATTTCTATGTACAGCTGCTGCATACAGAACTGTTTTGCTCATCTTAAACTCGAATTCATGACTTGATCATAAAATAAGAAATAAACTAGACTAAATTATCTAACTAAGGAAATTGGTCTCACCTCATTTGGATTTTTCTATGATTTTATACAGTTTTTCAAAGTCTACACACTTTCAATGCATTCTTAAGTCAAAATTCTTATTTTCATACATTTTTCTCAAACCATTTCGATTCCAAATTATTCCAACTTCTGAATTTCAACTTAATATAACATATTTGACATAAACAACCAAAATCCAACCTTTATTTTATCATTCATATTCTCTCCCAAATCATTGACTTGATCAAGTCAAAGTTCATATGATGAACTTGCATAAATCTTGATAATCTATTGAATCTAATGACCATTTCAAGCCATAACTACTAAAATGCACTCATTTTATATACTTAAGATCAAACCCATATGAAACCCTAACTCTATCTCAACATGCAATCCATATAACAAGAATATCAACCAAGAACAAGTGCAAAAATGGATTATACCTTACTTGATGATCAAATCCTTCAAAGATCTTGTAATGCCTCTTTGATTTTAGTTGAATCAAGCCTATATGTGTGAAAATCGCACCTCTAGTATGTGTGTGAGTTTTGGATTCAAATGACATGAAAAAATGGGCCAAAAATCCAATTTATTATGCTAAAACTCGAGTTGGGTCGGGTTGGCCCGGCTAGGTACCCATTTTGACTATCAACACTTAAAATATTCATAACTTTTCGCTTGGACCTCCGTTTTCTATGAGGTTTTCGCCTATACATTCATAAAGAGATAATATATAACATCCAACAAAATTATTCCAAAAAAGATCTCCCGAAAAAATAAGTTTTACGTATCTATTTGACATGAAATTTTTTTTCTTTCCAAATCCTCTAATAAATTCCTAAGAAATATAATTCTAACATTTCAAACCTAAACTCTCACTAAATCATAGATTCTCTTTAACCCAATAATTAAATATATTTAGCAAATAATTTGGGCATATTAGAAATTGGATGTTACAGCTTAACAAGTTTAATAGGACTCAACTTGTATGGTGAACTATACATGACTGTTTGATAGTGGCTTAAAGATATAAAAAATGTCTTATTCGGTAAGCTTCTAGAGATATTTATGCAGAAAACCAAGTTTTTTCGAAACTCACCCCTCCTAATTAAAAAACACGTTCCTTCAATCTATGAAAAAACATCCGAAACAAAAATCTTCCCAAACTATACAAACTTATCACTTTACACAGACAGTTTTATCATGCACAACTTAAAGGAAAACCAACCAAATAGCTCATAATATGCTTCTATGGACCATTACAAACGTCTCACGTATCATTAAGTGTAGCTTTAAGTTAGACCTAACATATTTTGTATGAAACCATATTGCTAGTAGATTCCCTTAATTAACGGGGTTGCAAACTATATGTATTCAAGAAGATGCATACATTTCCTCGAAAGCATTTTATCAAATGTTCATCTGTTTGATTCAACGAATGCCTTTCCAGTACCAATGATACAAAAAAGATATATTCGAACTCAAAGTTTCTTTATTAAGTTGGCATTTTTATTAGGTTTTTAAGGCAAATACAACTCTTAATTTTTAATGTTACCACCTACCTATTTTATTTTTGTTTCATATTTGCATTCAAACTCCCAAACAAAGTTTGTTTTAGCTTATATAGCCACCAAACTTTCACCTTATTTTGTTTTAGCCACAAAAATATCCTTTAATATGTGATTATGATTAGGTTATAGTACTTAGGGGATGTTTGGATCATGGGATTTGAAAGGAATTGGAATGTCCAATCCTTTGACCATATTCCAAATAGAATGTTTGGTTCATGGAATAAGACTATGGAATCCTTTCAATTCTAGTCGATTTCTTCGCGCACAGATTTTACAATTTCATGGCAATATGCTAGGATTTCAATTCCTTTCCTTAATCCAATTCCGTTAAGAATTTCATTCCAATTCCATGCAACCAAACGCAATCACAAGGCACGGTCAAATTCCATCAGATTTCATTCTATTCCCTCAAAGTCAAATTCATTTGATGAATTCAAATTCCATCGAATTCCATTCTACGAACCAAACGCCCCCTTACTTGCCCGCTATCCTAGGCATATCGGCCAATGGTCTTTGTCGTTTTCTTCGGACATTTTCCACAATAACAACGCACTTTTACTCTTTTTGATTTTGTTCTAATCATTAAAGTTGTTACTAATATCATAATATTTGTGAAAAACATTCAACCTTAAAAAACTATTTATAAAAATATTAAACTGTCGACAATTGTAATAAATATTTATTCAACTTTGTTGGAATGTTACCGTTACAAGTTTTTCTTGGTTAAAATTACCTAAAATAATTAATTTTCAAAATTACAATAGTTTTACTAAAAAAAGTTAAAGTGTTTTACCCACATTATAAATGAAGTTAAAGTGTGTTTAGTGCATAGTTCTAAATAACTTGTTATAACCTAGTTATGACGCGTTATGGCGTCAAGGCTTAGGTTTGCCACCACGTTAACCTCTGTGACTCCACTCTAAGACTTGGTTTCCTTATAACGCGTTATGGCACGCTACGACGTGTTATAGCACATTACAACGCGTTATTTTGTAAGGCATGATAGACTTGAATAAAAATAAAAGGGAAACTTAACAACTAAAACCTAAATAGATAAACAGTTACTGTCATTCCTATACACATAGATTTCAGTTGAACACGAGTTCTTTAGAAATTGAAGAAAGTAGTGAGTTGAGATTCAAGATAATTAATCCCGAGTTTGCACCCTTGATATCAGTTTGTATAAGTTTTATATATTTGGTATCAATGATTTTTCTTTCATTTTTGATTTATTACTTTATATGAATTTAATTTGTTCTACTTTATTATTCAAAACACTAACTATATATTTATATATAGTTAGTTAGTATATATTATATATATTGTCGTCTTGGGGCATACCTTGAAAAACGCAGTGGCCTGCCGTAACTCGTACAGTTTGACCTAGTTGTCACGTCACACCTCAAATCATTTAGAACCTCGGTTTATTGCAAATTGTGCTACTCAAACACAAAGTGAGTGATGAATTTTGTTCGAGTGGTATTTATATCAAACTCAAAAGACAAGGGGGTTATTTGAGTTTCTTTGAAAGTTGAGGGACTTGTTTTACAATAAGATCCGTTTAATATTTGGCTCCCGAGAACAAGGGAAGTCTCAAGAGACAGGTGCGGAGAGAGAGCGCCTCTCTTTGCCAACGCCCAACGCGTCAAAAGCCAACGCAAACCCCTCACCGTCTCTTCTCTTTTACTTTTCTCTCAACAATCCAAGCTGATCATCTGAGGTAAATCGCTCGTTTTCTCTTGATTTCTCTTCATCTTCAGTCTTCACTACTTTACCACAAGAATTCTGTGCAAGATTGAATCAAATTGTGGCGGGAATTGCTATTAACATGTTTGCATTATTGTTCTTCAATCAGATTTCTTTTGCAATCTGTTCTATTGGGCTTTTTACATCTTTTTTATGTGATTTTGCGTTGACTTGTATCCTCATTCACCAGTTGAGTCACTATCAAGTCATCTTTTATCATTACTTGTTTGTGAGATTCTTTCATAAAACCCACCGAGGGAAACAGCGTTCTAGGGTTTAGAAACGGTGTGTGGCATTTTGTTTTTTTATTATGGGAATTTGTTTAGTCTTATTGTTATGAGTCTTTGCAGCTGAATTGGTGTGAAATGCCATTACACAAAAGAAAACCGTTCTCTCTTTTGGAAAGGCCTGATGATTTGAAGCCTGAGGAGCTGGTGTTTCAAGTTCGCTTCACCAAAGAGATTTTTCGCGATTATCGGTATCTTCCTAACTTCTTTTTCCTCTTTGAAAAGCTTGTTTTTTCACTGTCTTTCCATTTTCCCTTTTCGATGACCACTTACATTTTAAGAGAGATGCGTTTTCATCTTAATGGTCAAATGAACAATCACATTTCTGTTTTGATCTAAAATATACAATTAAAAAGTCAAATTTTAAAAAAACTGTGGGTTTTAGCCTGTCATCTAAGAAAAAAGTTCCAAAATTGGTGTGCCAAATCAAAAAGCTGGACTCTGGTTCTGGTAATGGAAAGGGTATTAGTTTATGGGATTGAGGGTGTATGCTTGTCCTATCTTTGATTGAAATTATATGTTTGTGCTTACTAGTGAATACTTGAAACGGATAAATCTCTATCGTCAACGAGTTTGGACATGCAAGATCACTGGGAAGAGCAACTTGACTTATGAGGAGGCACTGGTTTCAGAGAAACAGGCCAATGAGAAGGTTCAGCAGTTTCCCAAAGAACTCATGGAGCCTGTGCTGCGTGATGTTCAATTCAGTAATGATGCTTCCTATCTGGTTCTTATACCGTATTGACGTATTCTGTCTTTTATATACTTAACAAGTTATTTTATGATTTTATCCTCAAGTTTTGCTTGCAGTTTCATGCATGCCTGTGTGTTAGATAATCTTTTCTGTTAGTGTATACATTTTCTTGAGTGCCACTACCCTTTGTGATATCCAATAAAAATAGACATTATTCAAGTCATTTGTTGTATGTTATACATACTGTACGTGTCAATAATGCTAATTTCTGTCAAATTTAATCCAGGCGATGTTTCTATTGTTTCTACTGCTTATCATTGTAGTTGTCAGAGGTTATTACTCTTTCATGGAGTTAATGGTCATGGACTCATGAGTAACTTTAGGATGTCCTGAGGCACTTTGTGTGTCCTTGGAATCATATCTATTGTTTTACTTTCAATCTGTGTCATAGTTTTAATTTGGGCAAGCATTGGTTGTATTATCCAGAGTTTGCTGTCAGCTGATAATAAGTTTCAAAATCAGATGTTTATTCATATGCATATAGTGGTACCGATGATGAAGGCATGATTCTGCATGTGAAAGTATAAGATTGTTGTGAGAAGCGTTTCCTATTGCTTAGCATGATACTTTTGACTGCTATTAAGAAACTCGAAGGGAGTTGTTATCACAAACAATTGTGATAATTCTTGTAGACAAGACGACTTGAAGCAAGGGTCTTCATGGATCATCTGTCCTAGCTTCCAGTTATTGGATGTTGATGACTCATTGAGCCACAATTGCCATTACATATATGAGTGTGCAGGTCTTCATTTGAGCTTGAACTGCTTAATATGTTTATTCCTTGAAATTTTTTAGTTATTACTTGAAAATATTTTATGTGGTATGCTGTGGACATGAGACAAATACCGTAGGGATTATACATGTGTATACTTGTGCGTGTGTGACCTCATGTGGGCATGCAAATGCTCATGCATGTTTGTGATATATGTATCTATTTTATATAGCTTTCTATCAACTTTGATGAATTTCTGGTAATAGGAAGTTTGTTATGATCCTGTACCATGTCAATGCTGATAATATTACACATAGAGATATTGGCCTTTGCTTTAGTTATTGTTGTTGTTCGAAATTGGGATGTATCATGGCCAAGAATTGTTGGTATCCAAATGTGGATGGTTGTTAGTAGACAATAATCAGTGATTTGCGCTTCTCTATGTATCATGTTTGGTACACGTTTAATGGTTCGGGATTGAGAACTCAGACATTGACATGTTCCACAATGAGTTACTATTTCCATGTTCAGTAGTTTCTTTAATACAAGCAAATGCACATATGTGGTGGTAAGAGGGGAGAAGAGAGAGAGGTCTGGATGGCTACCACAGAAGCTAGGTTCAAAGCATACGATGATTATTTTAATAAGTGGGAATGAAGAAGGGTAAACCAATGTTTATAGGTTTGCTAAGGTCAGAGAAAGGAGAACTATTCAACTAAGACTTGGAATCATGCGAGACAAGGCTGTTTTTGTGAGACACGTGAGACAAGTTTTTTACACTTGAAACTTCACAGCAAAATGCTGTGAAGATAACCTTAACATTGTTTTTGCTGTGAAGGTTCGGCTTTTTTTTACCTTCAAAGCGTTTTGCTGTGAAGTTTCAAGTGTAAAAAACTTGTCTCACGTGTCTCACGAAAACAACCTTGTCTCACGTGAACCCAAACCATTCAACTAAATATTAATAGAATGCCTAAAATTAGAACATCAAGCATAAAGATGCCTTAAAGAAGTTGAAGATCGTAAGATATAGGGTGTAACAATACTTTGATTTAGGTTTAGTGCTCTCTTGAGGATATAGCTATAGTTTGTTGTACGTCCATATGGAAAGAAAAAGATAACCAACGTATGAGGAGATTTGTTTAGGCTTATAAATTCTAACAAAATATAAACTCAAAAAACTACTGTAGTTATTTATGAGGGTTGGGTTTTTGAGTTCTTAGATTCAGGTCCTAGCAAGTTGTGACTGTCTGACCAACTTATGATGCCTTCTTATCTCTTTACTGACTAGAGATCAGGTGATTTTTTATCTTACATTCATTTTAAAGAGTTTATCGGAGTGAAGCATGAAATTAAAAGGCTCTCCAATTTTTCTCTTGCTTCAATCTCTAATTAGAGTGAAGAGATTATGAACCCCTTTGGCAGGCACTCTTCAGAGTGTCCAGCATTTAAACTGATTCAACAGGATACTACTACCATTTATTAAGAAACAAGCATCCTTCATAATGTTCTGTCATTAGAGGATTAACCTCACCGTGCAGCAGTTCAACTGATTTTGTTCAGGATTATCTGCTAACAAGCTCACTTTTTTTCCCAAATCAACCAAAAGAATTGGGATTAATATGTATCTATGCTTATGCACATGGGTCCTATCTCTTCAGTTTTTCATTCATGATTTTGAGCTGCATGCATGTGTCCTGAGATTAGATATTCACATGCCACTGTTAACTAATTCGAAGGTGAAAATTAGATGGTGATGTACACTTATGTCCGGTGGTATATCTGTGCTTCAGGTTGTAAGTACTTGGTGTGGATATTGGATAGGCATTCCATGAATGAGACCTTGTATATTTTTTCATTAGTAACTTAATGTTGATACTTGATGTTTGGCATCAGGTCCTTACAGTGCAGAAAGAAATGTCTTTTGTTGCTTTATTTTTCTTTGTAGTTGGCACATAGTGCTTCTCGTACATGATCGGTGTATTTTCTGTTTGCAGGCATGCTCACTTTAAGAGATCTTGTCAGTACTGTTGCTGCAAAGTTGCAGGAGCGCTTGTTAGAGGGTACTGAGATATATGGGAGGAAGAATAATCGTATATATCCATGCAAAATAGTAAAAGTAATTGACGAGGAAGTCGAAAAAACACAATACCAGGTAGCATGGCTCGACAAAGATAAGAAAGTAACTGAAAATGCTGTGGTGAGTGGAGAAGATTTGATCAAGAAAAAATTGCCATTTGGTAGAGATGTTTTAAAGTCTTTCATCAGAGATTCCACATGTAGGAGTGTTCCTTGGGTGCTTCACGATAAGTTGGCAGTGAAATATGGGATCTCGACTAATCCTCCTGAAGAGTTGAGAAGCAAAATTTTGTCCAAGAGTGGTAATAGGAAGAGGAAACTTTCTGAGGTAACATCTTGGTCATCACAAATGTTAACGTTTTACTTGTTTTGGTCATCGAACATATTTATTTTGTTGGTTCCATTTATATATCATAGGATGATATGAAGATGAGACCAAGTGGCCTTTGGCCCAATGGTACTAAGAAACAACCTTTAGCTTGTGAGTTTGAGTCTCTTTAGAGACATGGGTGTGTGAATATTAAAAATTGATATAAACAATGGAACCTCTTTCATAATTGAGAATGAAGGAAAATGGTATAAACAAATGGAACCTCTTTAGAGACATGGGTGCATGAGTTTATCTTTGCTTTAGACACATACAAAATGCAGAATGGTATAAACGAATGGGACCTTTTTCTTTGAGGCAATTCATTAGTTCCATGATTTTTTTTCAGGAGGCAAATAAGGGAGAACGGAAGCAAAAGAAACTGTGCGATGATGCACACGAAGGTATGTTGGACACATAATCAAGGGTGGTTACTTTACTAATGTTTCAGCATCAAATCTGCTTACATCAATCCTGTCGTTCTACCTTGTATATATTCTTGTAATTATTTTGCGTTGATGTCATACTGCTTAGATACCTTGCTCCCATTTAAGAGTTTTTTGGCAAGCTTAAACACAAGTGAAAGTGTGATGAACTTGTCCAGGGTACATGTGTTTTTTGACTGATTTCCGCTGATTTATCTCAACATTACAGAAGATGATGTGCCCATTAAATATCCGATCGATGATTTATTGGTGCAACCTGCAGCGGATGATCCTGTTTTTATTCCCCGTCCTCCACCGACCAGGGATTTTAACATCCCAATGGAGTGTGTTGGTGATGTTTTGATGGTTTGGGATTTCTGTTGTTCTTATAGTAAACTGTTGAACTTGTCACCATTCTCGCTAGACGATTTTGAAAATGCCCTCTGCCACAAAGACAGCAATGTAGTTCTCATTGTCGAGTCTCAATCTGCTCTTCTCCGCTTACTTATAAAGGACAATGGGGATTATTTTATAGCTCTACAGAAGAAAAAACGGAAGCCAAAGGTTTAAGTTGTGCTTTTCTTAAAATCCAAATGCTTTTGCTTGTGAAATCAGTTTCATTCTTCTGTACTCGTCTTGTGTGAGTAACTGATTTATATCAGTCAATACAGATTACATTGGTCACCTGGACGGATTACATGTGTGATTTCTTGGAACTGATTGGCAATGCGGAATTATCCATTCACATATCTACCATTAGGCGTGGTCATTATGGCCTTCTGGATATTCATGCTAAAGTGAGCATCTTTCTTGAATTGGTCACTCAAGCCCTTGCAACAGACATTATGAGAGAGAAGCTGGATGAGTATATTGAAGAGCGTCAGGCACTTGCTGCAAAAAGACGAGGTGAAGCACTGGAAGAAGGAAGAAAGAGGAGAGAGAGAAAAGAATTGGCAAAGGCTGGGTTAAATGGGAAGGAACAGAATGATCCTGCCAGAAATGGATCTGTGCATCACGGTCAGAATAGTCCGAATGGAGATGTTGCAAAGAAACAGGGGAACACTTCATCCGCCCGGCAAAGATACAGATCGGAGAACAGGTTTAAGTATTGTTCTTTTTATTTGGTGATCAAATTTTGGTTGGAAGGTCCTCTTTAGTTTGAATGGTTTTTCTTATTTGCCTATAGTGGAAAGAAGCAAGGCAAGACATCTGAGAAGGATGTGAAAACGCCAAAGATAGATGCAGAACCCACAATAGCAAGTATCAAAGCATCAACCGGAAAGGGGTCGAAGAAATTAATGGATGTTGAGAAGAAGGAAACAGAGGATAAAACAAATATAGAACAGAGGGTAAGGCCTCTCTCTCTCTATATATATATATAGATATTATATGTATGAGAGTATTAGTGATAGCAAAAGTGGTACAATAAGGCATTGCCACATTTTAGGCATCAAGTAAAAAACATACTAGGCTGCTTGGAGATGTAGACATGAGATACTAGAAAAATTGGTTATTAATGGTTATCTTAATGAACTTATATATTGAACCCTTCAAATTGAACACAACATTCAGCATATTTCAACTATATAGATGCCAACTAACATGAAAAACTAAATCTGCAAGAGGTTCAAAGACAGGGCAACTTGTACTCCAATACTATGAAAAAGAAGATTGTAGGCTTAAACTTTTCTATGTTTAACTGTTATTAACACACTGATGTAGTTTTGTAAGATTGCTAGAGCAAATGATACTTTAAGGGTATTTAGGAATTTCTACCTTCTCGTATTTCTGTTAAGTTTCCCGGAAGTGTTCCTATTGGATTTTTGTGTTCTTCTGTTCAACCTCTTGGCCAGGTTGTGTTCTTGTGGAAATGTTGTCTTCGTCTAATGCATTTACAAGTTCATATAAATTGGAAGAGTGGTATGATTTTTCTTGTTTGTTTGTATCTGCAGAAAGAATATCTTGAGAGGGAGATCGAAAAGAGATTCATACGGACCAATCCATTAGGTAAAGACAGGGATTATAACAGGTACTGGTTTTTCCGGAAGGACTCCAGAATATTTGTTGAAAGTTCTGATCACAAACAATGGGGATACTATAGAACTAAAAGCGAGGTATTGGCTCTTTATAGATTCACGAGTACAAAGTTGTGGATCTTTGTCATTTTCTTGACTCTTCTCTTTTCTATAGTTTGACTGTTTGATGGGCTCGCTGAACCGCAAGGGTGAGCGAGAAAGGGCTCTGAAAAAGCAACTGGAGAAACGTTATAACAAAATATCGTAAGATTTCTAAACTTGTTCTATGCTGTAACTTAGCTTGCTTTTACCCAACACATCACCTTCTGCTTTATTTGGCCATTAACATTTTCATTTCTATGAATCCTGTTTTCGTTATGTCAGAAAGAAAACAATGATGGAACCATAAAATGGTTGATGAGAAATAGAGAGAAACATATGAAACCTATTTGATGTTTTGCTGCAGAAGCCATTTACCATGATATGTACATGGCAAAATTGGCTTTTGAGCCATATATATAGGTATATATGGTTAAGCTGTATAGAAACCTCCCTCTTAAGGGTGCGTTTGGTACATAGACGGGACTGGACAGGACTGGGCGGATGAGAATGAGGTAGGAGGGTGAAAGAATTGTGGAAGGTTTTAGATTTTTAATTTGACATGGGTGTTTTAATTATTTACCAATCTTGTCTCACCTAAATGGGTGGGACAAAAAAGATGCATCTTTGTCTCGCTCTGTTCCGTGCTGTCTCATAAGAAGTTTTTGTTATGCCCCATTTTATCCGGCGTACCAAATGCACCTTAAGGGTTTTGGTTCTGGAGACTTCTTTTCCATCCAAGTCTTGTTTTGTGTATGGTCTTTCTTTTGCCTTTTCCCAGTACGTTGTTTTCCATGACATGAACCTATGAATTAGAGTAACCTTAGTGATTACTTGCTTCAAGACACGCTTACACATATTGTAACGTATTTTAACACACACACACACATATATCATTTATACTACATATTATCCATTTTCTTGGTGATTGAGGTGATGAATATAGAGTTAAAGATAATTTGTATATGCCTGAAAGAAAAACTGGGAATGTGTTGCAGAGGTGAAATGCAGAAGACATCAAAGGAAGCTCAAAGGATCCAAATGGAAATAGAGGCTGCGGTTCGAAGGTCGAGCCGTGTACGTGCACCACCAAGGGATAATCCAGCTCGTGCATTTCTCAAGTACGTCAACAAGCTCAAAGAGGACTAACTTTTACAACGGAATTTTGTTCATGGGGTCGATTTTTAGTGGGATGGGGATGCTTCTGAAGCTTAATTTCTCATATTTTTGTTCTGGGGGGGGTACAACTCCACCATGAAAGTTTAGGCCTATATTCAGCCTTATAAACTGCAAAAATTAGCCTCATATATATGAAAGACATTTATCGTTAACCCGATAAATCTCACTCGAACGTTAGTAAAGTCTGAGTGAAATTTTTTGTACGTCTATTTGTCAGTTGACATCTGACATTATTTATGATTTATTGAGTAACCTATTAGCCATGGATTTGAAACCAACATATCAAGATTTCTCCTTCTAAGGGCAGTTTATTGACACAAACTGGGTACATGTTAACCAGGAAAGCGAGTGCTTTCATGCTTCTGTGGACAGCATCTTGGTTAGCGACTTAGGGGTCGTTTACCTAAACACTTACCCGGTAAGCATTTAACGGTAAAATTCAACTTTATATCTTATTTATCGGGCAAGATTTTAGTCTACCAAAACAACATCGTATGTAACAATTTATCCGGTAAGCACTGACCGTGGTAAGAGTCGTCGTCATCACTTACCGGATAAGACTCTCGGTTCGTGTCTTCACTCTTAACAGGTAAGAATATTGATTATTGTCATATTCATCGGATAAGAGAATGTGACTTGATAAACGCTTACCTAAGTAAGCATTTGGTAAACGGCCGCTTAGAGACATGTAGGTCAGAGGGTGTCGGTAAACAACATTGTTTTTACAGGATCAGCACAACTTTACCCGTTAAAAAGGGTATACAGACCAAAAAATTGAACCTCAAAATCCTAACATCGAACTGTGAAAACCAGATGTTGCAAATTGGGGAAATACAGAGGTGGATCTCACAAATTTGCAAACTATTGGGGTGATGCAAGTAATTATTGATAATCAAGATACAATCGAGTCAAGTAGGGGTGTTAATTAGTCGAGTTAAATCATGTAGCAAATTGTTTGGGTTTGACTGAAGGAAATAATAGTAAATTCGAGCTTGAATTTTCTTAATGTTCAAGTTTGATACTTGTTTAATAAGTTTTAGTTATACAATATGGACATTCAATCAAAAAGTCTCATGGGATTTAGTTGAGACACGTGCAAGCCTAGGCACCCGTTTTTCCTAAACCAGAAATTCTAAGATATCAGTAGATTTTCGTGCTCTTAATGTTATGTTTTTTAGTCTTTCAAAACCTTTTTAACAAACCAAACCGTAAGTACATTTTAGACTACCTTCGCGCCTAAGCTCTTCAATTATCATTCTTATTCTTTCCGATTCTTCTGCCGATCAAAAATTGCATGCATTGTGTGGTACAAGCATATCCCGTTAATCTCTTCTCTTTTCTGTCAAAGAAATTTTTCAAACCGTGTAGTTCAACATGAAATGACCAAAACCGGATCACGAAGATGAGGTTTGGACTTGTTATAGGCTTATTATCTGCTTGAAAGCCAATAAATCTAGCGAATTTGTTATAGATTTGTTCAACCTCTGGAAATTGTGTATGTATGGTCTTTATGAAACCACCATCACAATGTGTGCAAACACTAGTGTTGGGTTTGAGTAAGAGCTTTAATGTTGTATTCAAGTTTCTCCTTAGTTTACTTACCTTGTAATAGTGTAGTTTTACTATTTTCCTTAGTATAAATAGTATTTTCATTGTAATTGTCATTACCAAGTAATTAGCAGATTGTAATCAAGATTTGAGCTGTAAGTTTCTCTCTCTCAATCAAATCAATCTTTGATGTCATCTTGATTCTTGAAGATCTTATCATGTTTGTATGAATTTTGGACTTCACAATTGGTATCAAAGCAGACTGCAACAGTTTTAATTAGAGGATTAAACAATTTTTGCACATTTTTGCACGAATTTTTGAAGATTGATCGATCTGGGTCTATGATGTTCATCACCGTTCTTGAGTGTTCTTCGTCTAGATTGGGTTTTTGAGCCTAAATTGGTTATTTTTTGAGTGCTAATTGAAAAGATTTATATCGCTAGATTTGGTTTTGTATTTCGAACAACTTTGATTCACACTAATTTTGATTTTAAGCAAGTTTTGAACCCGTTTTAGTCGAATTTTGAGTTTTCCGTATTCTGGTAAATGTTCTTCAAAACTCATATTTTTTCATGTTTTGATCCAAAATTTTGGTAAAAAGTGTGAAATTTTGTGTTTTTGGTTGAATATTAGTCCGCTTAAGACTTCTGTGATTTAGGGTGTTATCCACTTAATACTTGTGCGATTTAACATCCGTGTGTTTTGAGTTGTTTGTTATAGGTTAATCCGGTTAACACTTGTGCGGATAATTGAGCGATTTAAACAATCCGTCTGGTAAATCGTTGATAACTTGAACGGATTATTGAGCGATTTAAACAATCCGGCTGGTAAGTCATTGGTAACCTGAACGGATTAGTGGGCGATTTACACAATCCGACTGGTAAGTCGTTTAAGTGGTGTGCGATTTGTTAAGCGATTTAGAGAATCCGCTTGGTAAGACTTGTACTTAGTGCATTTGTCTATTTGAGCGATTTATATTTTTGATCGTACATTCTTTGGTGATTGAACGGATTTTGACTTTTTGATCGATTTAATTCTTTGATTTTTGATTGATTTGTATTAGAAGGACTTATATGTACTTTGACTTGTTGACTTAGTTGACCTTGACTTTTTGACTTTTTGACTTTTTACGTCCGATTTTCATTTTGGAATTTTGACTAAGTGTTGAAAACATCCGATTTGAGAATTTTAATTCAAATTGATTTTTGTGCCTTATCCATATTACATTTTGCTTAATCCGCCTAAATTTTGTATAATTGTTTAAATCTGGTTAAGTGTTGTGTGCGATTTAGAATTGCTTGTTGTCCGGATTTCTAATCCGGATAACTTGATTGAAAAAGTCCTTTGTTGTCTGGACTTTCAATCCGGATAAGCTTGACCGGATTCCTAATCCGGATAAGTATAAGTGCCTAAATTTTTCTAAGTGTTGAATGTGTGCAAAGCTTTGTTTTGAAATTATCAGATATATTTTCGTAAACTGATCCTTTAATTCAAACTTTGAACTGCAGTTGATCCTACTTCATACGAATTGATACTATGAGTTCACGAGAAGGAATGGCTATTGGTACTGACACTAAGCCACCTGTTCTGTTTCGTGGTGATTATAATCATTGGAGAGATAGATTTCTGAACTTCATTGAGAGAATGAAAGAAGGAGATCTGATTATGCAATCTTTATTGGAAGGTCCTGTTGTATACTTTCTAGAGATACCTGCTAATATAGTAGAAGGCATACCTGCTCAGAAAGTATTGAAACAAAAACATCAATATTCACCTGAAGAAAAAGAGAGAGCCTATGCTGATGTGCTTTGCAAGTCTTATATGATGCAAGCATTGACTAATGATATTTACACTAGTATTGACAGTCATAAATCATCAAGTCACAGCATGTGGATTCAAATTGAAAAGATGATGATGGGTTCGAAAGTGGGAACTCAGCTGAAGATTACTAACTGTATTTCAGCTTATGAAGAATTCAAGGCTAAAGAAGGTGAAAGTCTTGATGATGTTTATAATAGGCTTGCCAGACTGCTTAATGAACTAACAAAGAATGGAATTTCTAAAACTACAATAGAGATTAATGTTAAGTTTCTTAACAATCTCCAGTCAGAGTGGAAACCATTTGCTAATCATATBADATTCAATAAACAGTTATCTGATATCGATATTCATGAAATTTATGAAACTCTGAAACAAAATGAGCAAGATGTTTTGGAAATCCGAAATGCAAAGAAGAAAGAAAAAGAAGTTATTGATCCTTTGGCTCTTGTATCTGAGAGAAAGGAGAATAAATTAAAAAGCAGATCTGGAAAGCAAGTCAAAGAAGTTAGCCAGTCAAGTGAGTCTGAAAAAGAGGACAGTAACAGCTCAGATTCAGATTTTCAAATGTCAGAGATCAAACAGGCAATGACAATGCTGACTAAAGCATTCCAGAAGAAGTTCTCAAAAAGGCCACACTCGAACAACCAGAGATTCTCGTCAGGTTCAAAATATGAATACAAAGACAAATTTGGCGAGAAGAAGAAATATGAAGAAAAGAGGTTCGAGAAGAAATATGAGAAAAAGCCGGAAGAAAAGAAGAAATTTACCAAAGGTGTAGCTGATGAGAACACAAAGTGTTATAACTGTAGTAAGCTAGGCCACTTTGCTGTAAATTGTAGGAAGCCGGTAAATCGAGATA